ATCTACTCATCTAAAACTACAGCATGGATCTTTAAGAAATCTGAATGGGGCGAGGGTATTGTTCTATGTTCAAAATCGAGAAGTGTTTTTCTTAATGGTTTTATGCACATGATTGAGTACTCTGCGAAAGTTGCTGTGGATATGGAGGGAAAGACATGGAGGACAATTCGTAAACCACGTGGTGTTGAAATATCCATCCATCAAGCTTAGGGTCACCTATATGCGTTGTGCTAATTTTCACAATATGTCTTGGCTTTTAGTGTGGATACTTGAAGATTATGGTACTGAGAACTGGAGATTGAAGCATGTTGTGGACATGGAGGAACTATTTGGACACATGAATATTAAAGTTGGTTCTGAGCTTTGTGATGAGGAGTACAGAGTGATTACAGTTCACCCAGAATAGAATTTCATTTTCCTTGTTGGGAAGGATAGAACACTGATTACATATGACATGGATCGCAGAAAGGTTCATGCCATCCATGCTCGTGTGATCCGCTTTTATAGATCAAGAGGGCATTTCCATATACACAGGCCTTACTATCTTCCTTATGTTTCCTTGTTCATGCAGTCATTAGCAGAGCAGTAAAGGTGTATTTGTTGTATTTCGTCGTCTTTGTTCATGTAGGGAGTTGTTTTCATTCTATGTATGTATAGGCTAATTTTGGCTTGTTAACTAAAGGAATGGTATGTTTAATATTATTAATTCTGCTATTTTGTTTAGGTTGTGGATCAGAGATGAAGAAGAGGGGTTCCATGGTGCATTGGCTACTAATCCGAAGGATGCACTAATTATATTCATTTGTGCCTAGCAAGCAGGAGTGCCACATAGGAGGAACACAACTACGTCGTTTCGTTATGTAAGCCTGTGTAGAGCAGTACCTTTAGTTTGCAATCTATGTACCGCTTGTGTTAGGACATCAGTTGAGAAAGATATTATTATAAGTGTCCATTATTATTGTAAGAACATGGTTTATGGATGCAATGATTATATTTGTATGCTTTGTGTTCAGTAAGCAATTAAGGGTCGTTTATTGTTTTGTTATCACCACCGCCGTTGGTGGTGCAAACGTCCAACACCGTCGCTATACGTATTATACGGCAGGGATCAAAAGTGTATCACCATCGAATCGTTTAGTAACTCGACACCAAATAAACAATCATCAAAGGCAGATCGTGGTGCAAGGCGACGGTGACCATGACCTTTGTACTGGTGGTTCATACGTTGAAGCAATGGTGGTGTTAACCTCTACATAGACGTCTCGGCCGTTGAAGCGACAGCGAAGCTACACTATAGACAGTCGGGTCGAAGAACAAGGCGACGGTGCTGATGACCACTACACAGGTGGTTGATGTGCCCACACGACGGTGATGATAGCCTCGACACAAGTGGATCATTTGCCAATGCGACGGTGTTAGTGTATACCCATAGACGAGTCGTGCTCTAATGCGATGGAAGTAAGGATCTTATCATGGACGGATGATAAGCCAATATGGCGGTGTAGTCTACACCACAGTCGGTCCCAGATGACGACGGTGATGGCTATGACTATCACTATCGACAGCTTACTGCCAAGACCAAAATTGGACTACAATAGGGGTTACGACACGGCTATGAAAGGTCCGAGTGTAGTAGTGTCTAGAATCCGAGATGGATTCCAGCTTGAGTTGGATTGGACCTCCGCCATTACTTGGATGACTTGGACGCCCACGCTAGTCCCCTTCGTCTCCATGTCTTGTTTCGATGGAGTGATGTCCTCATCAACATCTCCTCTCCTCCTCCCTCTTGGATGAAGATCTTCTTCTTCTAGAACCACAGCCCTTCTTCTTCATGAACTTGCCAAAGTTGTGCACAAAGAGAGTTATTTCTTCATCTTCTACACTTAGCTTGTCATAGCATCATCATCACTTGATTCTACCTTCTTGCTCTTGCCCTTGGAGGTTGTAGCCTTGAATGCCACACTCTTGTTCTTCTCATATTTCTTATCAACCCTTTCCTCATGGTATATATCTTGAGTGACCACATCACCTAGTACTTGGGTCGGGGTGATGCCCTTCAAGCCACCCCTCACAATGATGGTGACCAATGTGTCAAATTTGGTGGTAGGCATCTCTAGAATCGGTGGGACTAATCTTCATCATCCACCGTACCTTGTGCCCCAAATTCCTTAGCTTATTTACAATGACATTGAGTATATGGACACATCTCCGACACACTTTCATCTTCTTATATCTTGAGCTTAGCATAGTTGTCTTTGAAGATATAGAGTTTGGCCTCCTCGACCGCCGAAGTCCCCTCATAGGAATGCTCAAGCTTCTTCCAAACTTAATGTGCCATCTCAAGCTTTTGATTGACTTGAAATCTTTGGATCAAGAGCTTCATAGATCACATTGGGAGCTTGATCATTCAATTGCAAGTTTTCTTCCTCTCTTGGGGTAGGATCTTTCATGTCCAACACAATAAACTCCTCTACTACTCCCCATATCTTTTGGCTCAGTCTTAAGGTGCAAGCACATCCTCGTCTTCCAATAATGATAATTAGGTTTTGTCGAAGAGATGGGAAAAGGCACTGAAAAGAATCGCCATCAGGTACTGTAGCTACGCTGCAGTAAACGTAGTTACTGGTCTGGAATCAGCGTTGACTAGCGATGTTTGGGGCTCAACATAAGAATGTTTTACAGATAAACTTGTCGGAGTGCAAGCACGTTATAGATTGGTCACCAATGTTTTTAGATCATATTATCGAGGCTAGTCGTATGACCACCGATCAGACGACTAATCGTGATTTGTCGTCGATAAGGGTCGATTAGTCGGTCCTAATTGGTCTAATCGGCTAGTCGGACATTTAGTCATCCTTGTGCCTAGATGGCTTGATCGACCATGTATATACTATATATATGATGTAAATATATGTAAACATGGCCATAATTAATAGGTAAATGTTAGAGGCAAGCAACCAAGCACAGTTTGGCATGTAATCATGTTTGCAATGAATCATTATCATGGTGATTTGGCCACTTACCTGTAACTGCTGCTTGCTGATTTGGCCACTTACCTGTATCATGGTGGCTCATCTTGATGCTTGAGGCCTCCCGTGTCCATCTTCCAGGCGTCGAGGAAGGAGCCTCAGAGGCGGGTGGATCTACTGGGTCCCGACAGGGGAGGAGACAGGAGCGAGTAGAGGTGGAGGCGCGGGCGGAGCTGCGGACGCCGGTGAGAGGCGCGGACAGAGCTACGGACGCCGGACAAAGGCGTGGGCGGAGCCGCGGACACCGGCGAGAGGCGCGGAGGGAGCTACGGACGCCCGACAGAGGCGCGGACGGAGCTACGGACGCCCGACAGAGGCGCGGACGGAGCTGCGGGACGCCCGGCGACAGGCGCGCGACGAGCTGCTGACACCGGCAGAGGAGATCGAGGCGAGCAGGACACCGGCGAGAGAGATCGGCGGGCGAGAGAGCGATGGCTGCGAGAGAGAGCAGCGGGAGCTGGAAATGCGGCTGCAACTCCCACTAGGTCACTCACTCACTCCTCTTCTTCTTACCCTAATGGGCCAGCTAAAGGTGGGCCGAATTCTTTAGCTGGGCCAAATTCTCCCTCCCCCGAACTAGTCGTCCGGCTAATCTGATCGGACGACTAATCGTGATTAGTCACAACTTATCGGACGATAAGTTTTCTAATCGGTCTAAAATAATCGAGGGCCCTTATCAAGCACCTGGTTACGATAAGGACGACTAATCACGATTAATCGTGATTAGTCGTCCGATCTGAAAACATTGTTGGTCACTCCTCTTTATTTGGCATAGGTCTCATGAGCTTTGTTGGGATTTTGATATCTTTGTAAGTGTTCAAAATAGGCAAAAAAGTACTGTCAACCAACACTTAAAAAATTTTCCGATTCCCAGAAACAAGATTCATGTTTCCGACCAAATTCCTTCAAAGGTGAAACGCGAACTTGGTCAAGTGATAAACTAAGATTTGTAACTTACACCAGTGATTCTTTACGGTGTTTAACCTGTTTAGCACGTCAAGAATCGAATCAAAGTTGGCAAAAATAGATGAAACACCCTGAACTCTGAATGTCTGGAAACTCTATAACAATGAAATTGACAAAACTTTGATCCCCTCAAATCTCCTGTACCACAAGCTAAATCAACCAAGTGCCTTAACAAATATTGGCGACCTGTGATTCCTCTTCGAGTTTGTTCAAGATCCATCCTCGAGTTGACACACGAAATCGAGAGAAAATCTGAGTCCAAGTCGTCAGTTTCAGTCGGCCGAACAGCTCGGAACTGAACTCAGCAGAACAGGTGCTCGCCCGCCCGACCGGCAGCGCCACGCGGCCGCCGATGTCTGCCCTGCGCGCCAACGCCCGTCCACATGGAAGTGGAGAACGTCACCCTGTGCAGCCTCAAGCAGCAACCGAGCACCCAGCTCTCTAGCTTGCTCCGTCTCTGTTTCTCTGCTCGTGCGCCGCCTCGCCATCACCGGCCAAATTCGCCGACCGTGTGCACCACCATCCACCGATTCCCTTCACCTCCATAGCCCATCATGGTCGAGCTAGATATGCCTGTAGCCACACCGTTTTCCCCGACCTGTTCCACCGGCCGCCATTGCCGCCATAGAGGCAAGCACGGTAAGCTTGGGGTCTAGGCGAACTCGGCTCAAACCTCCTGCGAACGAGACACCACGAGCACCAGACACGGTGTGCTGCTGCTGCTATCCAACTGCTTCCCCGACAGAATCTGGCCTGCCACTCATGAGGCATGAATCAAAAGATGGTGCCTCTTTCAGTTCTTTCACCTGAAGAACCAAGTCATGCGCATAAGTTTGTAGTGCTATGCAGATCAGAGTAGCCGACCAATATAATGTGCACCAGCATACAACCATACAGGGATATTCAAGAACAAAGGGGGAAAAAAGATAAGACTAGTTATGAAACAGGAGCCCTAATCACAAAACTCAGTAGTGTATATTTGTAGACAGTTCTAAGCCCACAAGCTCAACCGTGGGTGACTGTAGACTTGAATTTTGGGGAGAGCACCTCAACTCCACCCATATAGGGTCTTAGCGGCTCTGGAACCACAATCGACCCATCATCCTGCTGAAAATTCTCTAGAATGCATACTATCAGACGAGGCACTGCTACTGCTGTTGCGTTGAGTGTGTGGACAAACTGCGTAGGGCCTGAGCCAGCTCCCTTCCCTTTCTTGGTGTTCGTTGATGGAGGCTCTGAGGGTGATGGACGGTAACGGATGCCAAGTCGCCTACTTTGGTAGTCGGTACAATTGGACGCACTGGAGATCTGCAAATTTGATCAGGAATCATCGACATGATTGAAGGAAATGTTGAGAAGACATATACAAGCCTGGTAAACTTGCCCCTTACCTCACCGTATCGCTCTAGGCCTGGCATCCACGCCTCGATGTCAAATTTTCGGTAGGCTGGTGCACCCAGATCCCCAGTTGCCATATCCAGAGTTCTATAAAAGGGGCATATTGGCACTGGCATTAGTACATCTATCGCATGGAATTTCGTCTCAAAAATGGGAATGGCACAGAAATTAAATGGAACAGGAAGCACTTGAAATGAAGTCCGAGTGATGCATAAAGATCCTCTTCAATTGTAATAAGTTCTTCATGCAATTTGTCACTTTCCTCTGGTCGACAGAATATGAACATCTCAACCTTGCTAAATTGATGTACCCGATAGAGGCCCCTGTTCATGATAAAATGATAAACTAACTTTACAAATGCACTGTAAAATTAATCTCAATTCAGAGCATGTGGAAGTTTGTTTTTACCACAGTTTTTAAGCATTCAAAAGAACAGAACCAAATATACATGCTCATACAATGATAAATCTTCATGTTCAAAAATCAAGAAACAAAAAAGTTCATAACCTCAGGCAAAAGGAGAACAGACCAACCTAGTGGCAGCACCTGCTGCACCAGCTTCTGTACGAAAACAGTGTGAATATGCTACATATTTTAAAGGCAAAGCAGATTCGGCAAGTATTGAGTCCATGTGGATGCCTCCAACAGGAATTTCAGCAGTGCCTATGAGACACTGATCACTGTCCTCAATTGAGTAGACCTGCGGAGCAAAGTGCAAGCAATCATTTTAGCACACGTCAACAATAACAACTAGAAATGTATCTCTGGAACCAAGAAGGAACTGAAATGGTTAAATTGAACAGCATATAACACCAGAGCAACATATCACAGGCAATCAAATACTTTAGTCAGGCAAGGTTGAAATTGTGGGTCGCATGTGACTGAATTTTCTAAAATTTGGCTAGGGACATCCTTTTGGATTATATGAATATATTTATCTCAATGGTAGTTTCATTTTCATAATAATATAACTTCACTGAAGGGCGGGCCTGATGCAAGCGGTAGAGTCTTACCGCCTGTGACCGGAAGGTCCCGGGTTCGAGTCGCGGTCTCCTCGCATTGCACAGGCGAGGGTAAGGCTTGCCACTGACACCCTTCCCCAGACCTCACACAGAGCGGGAGCTCTCTGCACTGGGTACGCCTTTTTTTTTAATAATATAACTTCACTGTCACATTTAGTACATAAATTATAATAGAAATAGTGGCTAGCATTATGTTTCAATGACTCCATCAATGCCCAAAACAGAAACTATGTTGTTATTACAGGGAGTAATCCACATACCAAATAGCTGCTAATGCAAACATAATGTAAGAATAAAAACAAGTCACTAGACAATAGAATGTGTTAAAATGACTATTCTCATGTCTTTTATGATACAAATAACTAAACCTTAAATACCATCTTTAACAGGGGAGTTCATACCTGAGTATTTTGAGCCCTTGGCTGGAAGCCACATTTCTCAACAACAGATGATCTTACAATCTCTGGAGTTATAAGTGGTGTGAAACCCTTCTTGGAGACCTCTGAAATAGCCAAATTTACTAGGGCCATCTCCAGCAAAACAGCTTCATTCTTTAAGTAGTAGAACTTCGAACCACTGACCTGTGCAACACAGTACAGACCTTTAGTACAAAGAAAAGACCAAATAATAAATCTACTTATCTAGAAACTTCAAAGAAAACTCGATATATGAGGGAAACCCCAACGGCATTGCATTAAGAAGACGCACGCTTCTCAAACATAGGCGGAAAAACACCCTGAAGGCCGGCTGCCTTGGATGTGCCACTGAGCACCCAGGACACATGCCTGTGGCCATTTTGTATCTCGCTGAAAACGACTCAAATGGTTACACGTATAACTCAGGAACACAGCCAACGGGGAGTCAAATCCAGGTTACTAACATTGTTGTGCCACTAGGCTGCAGACCCTTTCACTAAGACAAGGAAAATTTAACTAAACAAGTTTTCAGAGAATTTTAGATCTATTTACTTGACGTCATGCAGTTTGAATTTTTAGGTGTATCCGAAAATATCTTATTGAACAACTTGCTGCAGTGTGTTACAACAACAACAACAACAACAACAAAGCCTTTAAGTCCCAAACAAGTTGGGGTAGGCTAGAGTTGAACCCCAGCAGAAGCAATCAAGGTTCAGGCACGTGAATAGCTGTTTTCCAAGCACTCTTATCTAAGGCTAAGTCTTTGGGTATATTCCATCATTTCAAGTCTCCTTTTATTGCCTCTACCCAAGTCAACTTCGGTCTTCTTCTGCCTCTCTTCACATTACTATCCTGACTTAGAATTCCACTACGCACCGGTGCCTCTGGAGGTCTCCGTTGGACATGTCCAAACCATCTCAACCGGTGTTGGACAAGCTTTTCTTCAATTGGTGCTACCCCTAATCTTGTATTGTATGACCGCAAATCCAATGCAACATACGCATTTCCGCGACACTTATCTGTTGAACATGTCGTCTTTTCGTAGGCCAATATTCTACACCATACAACATAGCAGGTCTAATCGTCATCCTATAAAACTTGCCTTTTAGCTTCTATGGTACCCTTTTGTCACATAGGACACCAGATGCTTGGCGCCACTTCATCCACCCTGCTTTGATTCTATGGCTAACATCTTCATCAATATCCCCGTCTCTCTATAGCATTGATCCTAAATATCGAAAGGTATCCTTCCTAGGCACTACTTGACCTTCCGAACTAATATCTTCCTCCTCCCGAGTAGTAGTGCCGAAGTCACATCTCATATACTCAGTTTTAGCTCTACTGAGTCTAAAACCTTTGGACTCCAAAGTCTCCCTCCATAACTCCAGTTTCTGATTCACTCATGTCCGGCTTTCATCAACTAGCACTACATCGTCCGCGAAAAGCATACACCAAAGAATGTCCCCTTGTATGTCCCTTGTGACCTCATCCATCACTAAGACAAACAGATAAGGGCTCAAAGCTGACCCTTGATGTAGTCCTATCCTAATCGGGAAGTCATCCGTGTCTCCATCACGTATTCGAACACTAGTCACAACATTGTTGTACATGTCCTTAATGCGCCCGACGTACTTCGTTGGGACTTTATATTTGTCCAAAGCCCACCACATAACATTCCTTGGTATTTTATCATAAGCCTTCTCCAAGTCAATAAAAACCATGTGTAGGTCCTTCTTCTCGCTATACCGCTCTATAACTTGTCTTATTAAGAAAATGGCTTCCATGGTTGACCTTTCGGGCATGAAACCAAATTAGTTCATAGAGACCCGCGTTATTGCTCTCAAGCGATGCTCGATAACTCTCTCCCATAGCTTCATAGTATGGCTCATCAACTTAATTCCCCGATAATGAGTACAACTTTGAATATCCCCTTTTATTCTTGTAAATCGGTACCAATATACTTCTCCACTCGTCAGGCATCTTGTTCGATCGAAAAATATGGTTGAACAGCTTGGTTAGCCATACTATAGCTATGTCCCCGAGGCATCTCCACACCTCAATTGGGATACCATCTGGTCCCATCGCCTTACCTCCTTTCATCATTTTCAACGCATCTCTGACCTCAGATTCTTGGATTCTCTGCACAAAGCGCCTATTGGTGTCATCAAAAGAGTCATCCAACTGAAAGGTTGTATCCATATTCTCACTATTGAACAATTTGTGAAAATACTCTTGCCATCGATGTCGGATCTCATCCTCCTTCACCAAGAGATGCTTCCTTTCATCCTTAATACACTTAACTTGGTTGATGTCTCTTGTCTCTCTCACAAATCCTAGCCATCATATAAATGTCCTTCTCTCCTTCCTTCGTACTCAAATGTTGATAAAGATCCTCGTTACGCTCTACCCTTTGTCACACTTACAGCTCGTTTTGCAGTCTTCTTTGCCACCTTGTACTTCTCTATATTGTCCACACTCCTGTCATGGTACAAACGTCTATAGCATTCTTTCTTCTCTCCTTAATAGCCCTTTGGACATCCTCATTCCACCACCAAGTATCTTTAGCCTCGCCTCCACTTCCTTTGGTTACTCCACACCTCTAAGGCCACCTTCTGAATGTTGGTTGCCATCTTCTCCCACATGTTGTTTATGTCCTCTTCTTTCTTCCAAGAGCCCTCTTTAATAACCCTTTCCCTGAATACCTCTGATGTCTCCCCTTTCAGTTTCCACTGCTTTGTTCTTTCAATCTTAGCTTGTTTATCCCTACGGGCACGCACCTGAAAACGAAAGTCTGCCACCAAAAACTTATGTTGAGAAACAACACACTCCCCTGGTATCACCTTGCAACCCAAGCATGCTCGTTTGTCCTTTCTTCTTGCAAGGACAAAGTCAATCTGGCTAGAGTGTTGTCCGCTACTGAAGATCACTAGATGAGATTCTCTCTTTCTAAAGAAAATGTTGGCTATCATCAGATCAAAAGCTACCGCGAAGTCCAGAACTTCCTCCCCCTCCTGATTCCTACTACCATACCCAAAACCTCCATAAACTGCATCGAAACCTGCGCTTGTAGTACCTACATGCCCATTAAGATCTCCTCCTATAAAAAGCTTCTCACTACTAGGTGCAGTTCTAATCAGGCCATCTAAGTCTTCCCAGAACTGTCTCTTAGCACTCTCGTCGAGGCCTACTTGGGAGGCATACGCACTAATTACGTTCAAGACCATATCACCAACGACAAGCTTGACTAAGATAATCCTATCTCCTTGCCTTCTCACTCCCACCACACCATTCTTGAGGCTCTTATCAATCAACACTCCTACTCCATTTCTATTCACGACTGTCCCTGTGTACCAAAGCTTGAAACCTGTATTGTCCACCTCCTTCGCCTTCTGACCCTTCCATTTAGTCTCTTGAACACATAATATATTTACACGCCTCCTAGTCGCGATATCAACTAATTCTCTTAACTTACCTATAAGCGACCCTACATTCCAACTACCTAAACGGATCCTAGTTGGTTCGACTAGCTTCTCTTAACTTGCTGCAGTGTGTTGTTGTACATAAATGTATATAGTGTAGCAAAAGTTGTCGCAATTATACCTCGGCTGCTGCATCAAAGTCAAACAAATCAAGTTCCTTCCCCAGCTGAAGATGATCTTTGATTGCAAAAGTGAAGCTCCTCTGACTGCCTACCTGCACAGTTCAATCAAAATAAATTATTAAATGTACAAAGTAGAAAAGTAGCAGGAAGTATAAAACAACACTTACCTCTTTCCTGAGGACAGAGCTTTCCTCACCCCCAACAGGAACATCTGGATGGGTAGTGTTAGGAATACTTTGAGCTTCAAGTTGAAGCTTATCTGTCAGCTGAACAAGATCCTCCTCAAGTGCTATAAGCCCATCTTTCAGGTTCTTACCTGTAGTAACTCAAAATGGGTAAAACTAATATAGTGGTGAATCCTTATCTTCATGCTTGAATAAAGTACTCATTCTACCTTCTTCAACAAGGGCTTGGCGTACAGATGGGTCTAGTTTCCCTTTTATCTTGTTAGCAACTGCATTTCTTTCAGCTCGGAGCCGTTCAACCTCCTGTCATCTGTCACAATTAGTTGCCATCGTTCTGTTACCACCGTATTACATTCTGGAACTGAATTAACCAATTGTGTTCATCAAGTGCATATATAGACAGCTACTGTATCTAACTATCGCACATGTCTTACGCAGAACATAAAACTTATAGAATGGAACCATTTAAAGGGAAATAGCAGATGTGTACCACATGAACAAGAATCACAAGGATCATAAAAATTTTGCAACTTAACTTTGTTATCATGAATGATAAATTGCTAAGAGCACAATCTGAAAACAGTTAGGCCCTGTTTGGCAGCTTCGTAGTTTTATTAACGTGTAATTAGCTTCCGGTGGTAATATCTTGTGCACAAGAATACAGTTGTAACTTGTTTCCTCTGTAAAATATTCGTTTGGCAAATATGTGACAACCTTCTTCCACAAAAGCACCAGCCGCCGTCACTGTAGTTGACAGTCACACGATGGTCATCCTCTGCAGCCAGGTGAGGAAACGTCGGATTCAAGCTCTAGGAATTGCAATTGCCACTTCAGAGTTCGGACTCGACAGAGCTAGCATAGAAGCACCCGAATCAACTGCAGTTCAGCAGAGTTCAGAGTTTGTTGCAGTCTGGTGAGCAGAGAGAGATCCAGGAACAGGGAATGGAGATGATGATTTGATGAGTAGGGATAGAGATCTGGGAAGAGGGAATGGAGATGGCCGAGAGAGGCCATAGGGGAAGCAAGAGGACCAAGAGAGAGATCTGCTCCTTCCGCCATGGAGATGGCGAGATGGAATCGGGGCATGCGGCCGTGCAGGAGACGACGCCCGATATCTGTCGTATTTTTATTGGAGTCTTGATAGATAATTTTTTTATTCCAGTTGGATCAATCTAATACAGGGGTAAATCTAGTTGGTTCACAAGGCATCCAAACAGCATTTTCTAGTTCAAGGTGTAAAATATTCCAAGCCTGTAATTTACACTGGTTTCTGATATAAAACCATGCTTCTAAACAGGCTCTTAAGGGCCAACCAAAACCAACTAAAGATTGAAAGAATATATACTCACTCACTACAATTTAATAATTGACTGATGTAATGCAAAACAAGGTATATCTGAAAGAGAGCTCCATAAAAAGTACAGGGTCTGTATGAATTCCTAGATTCGACTTTCATGGACAATTGATTTCTTAAAATGTACTGTGAGCCATTTTTTGTGAACATTGGATCTGTATGCAACTCAAGTGTTGTATGATTGAATGGAAATTCAATGGATAAAAGAACTCTGAATTATCCTAAAGACAAAGTTAAATCATATTACAAATATTCTATCCCAATCCATGTTCAGCCTTTTGAGTTCTGTTTCTAACTTTTGTTGCCAAGACAAATACAGAAGACACAGTAGCCACACCGACTAGTCATTACTGAATGAGATAAACCGTGCAGTTCATCAGTCATATTATAGGACATTTAAACAGTTCAAATATAAGCTCAGATGAAAATCCTAGCAAAGAGCAACCATCTAGTACATACCCCTCGGCCACCCAAGTCAAAATCCACGCACTAGAACCTGACCCTCTACAGGGCAACCTTATCCATCAACAAATCTAGCGCAGCACAGTCAGACAGCAACAGCTACAACACAAAGCTCCGGTATTGGCAAGCCCCAGACCTTTTGCAGTGCGAGGTACTGGTCGTAAAGCTCGAGGATGAGGTCCAGATTGGCGGTGGAGTTCCGGCTCCGGATGTTGTCGGCGACGGCGTCCCGGTTATCCCGGATCCATTTGAAATCAATCGCCGCCTTCCACTGCGGCCTCACCACACCGGCACCGCCTCCCGCGCCACCGCCGCCTGAAAGAAAAACGGAAGCTTAGACAACTATACGTCGTTGAGATGAAGAGTGAAGGTTAAAGCTTTTTACCTTTGGTGTCGGGTTCGACGGCGGTGGCGGCGGCGGCGGAGGCAGAGGAGAGGAGGCGGGGAGCGGGGCGGCGAAGGAGAGAGCGGGTGAGAGTCCGAAACGGGGAGAAGGATGCGGTGCTGGTAGCAGCGGAGGAGGAAGAGATAAAGCGGCCGCAGGTCAGCATCTCGCCTGTGAGGTGGAGGTGGTGGCCGGCGGGCGGCCGTTGCGGCGGATAAGAAAAGGGTGAGGTTTTGGGGGCGCCAGGGGCCGTATGGACTTTTGCAATGGCAACAGTGAATGTCAACCGTCCGATCTGACTAGAAGTAGTTGGATGAAATTATCGTGCAATTTTTTCTCAATACAAGAATTAATCATGTACATATGCACTTGTTTACATTTATATTTATCACTACCAAATGTGTCAGGACCCATATCATTTTTTAACACCACGAAGACCACCGGCACATAATGTAAGTCTTTTATAGACAGTTAAGGGCATGTTTAGCAGGGATTCACCACGGAGATTTACCACGAAAAAAGTAAATCTAGATCTGGGATTCACCGCGGATTGGATCCACCGTAGGTCTGAGATCCACCAGAAAACTGTTTGGCTAATGCAGCAGCTCTAGATCCGCGCAAGGGCATTTTCGTTGGAATGGCCAGAATTGCCCTTGGGCTCTAGTGTTCTCTTTGCCTCACTGCTAACCTTGGCCTGCATGTCAGCTCTTCTTTCATCCTCTTCCTATCAAGCAGAGCAGAAAGCATCGTACGCACGCCTTGCCTGCTCGCCGGAGCTCGCGGCCGTGGACGGCCTCGCCGGCTTGGGGAGGGGCAGCACAGGCGCGGCCACCCTGGGGAGGGGGTGGCGCAGGCATGGCCGCCCTAGGGAGAGGCGGCGCTGGCACGGCCAGGCGCGCAGCCCACTCGAGGACGAAGGAGCTCGTTGCGGGGTAAGGGCGTGGCGGGCGCCGTGAAGGAGCTCAAGCAGCCGGCCGTGGAGAAGATTATGGCGGTGAGGGCGTGGAGGAAGAGCAGGAGGAGGCCACGGCTCAATCTAGGCACAAAAAACCGAGAACCGAACCGACCTAACCGGAACCGAAACCGAAGTAACCGAAACCGAAATATTCGGTCCCAGGTTTGGTTCCAGGTTCCTAGGAACCGAAATTATTACGGTTAATTCGGTTCCAGCACTCGGTTAACTGAATTGACCTAAAATAACCGAACTATGTAAAGGCTCATAGAATACAACCCAGACCAAGGTAAACCCTAAGCATCGATATCACTCAGTCACTCTCCTCAGTCCTCACCGATCACCGCCCCCGACCCCGACCCTGACCCCGCCACGCCGATCCGCCGTCCACCCCGCGGCGTGCTGCCCCGGCGCTCCTGACGCCGAGTTCGTGACCCCTCCCCTTCGGTCTCCGGCCCTCCCTTCCCCTCCGCGACCCCGACAGGCCAACACGGCCAACCCCCAGCCGGCTAGGCGTAGGCGGCAAGCAGTCCAGCACCGGCGTAGGAGGCAGGACACACCCTGCACCCACCCCGCCGGCGGCCCTAAGCCACCGTCGCCCGCCGCCACTTCTTGTGATCTACTCCACAACGGCTACATCAATTGCGTCCTGCAATGTAAGTGTTAAAGATCTAACTGTATTTGTGACTGATTTGTTGTGGGGATTTGTAGTTGATAACTTGACTGCATTTCTTCAGATGTCTGACGAGGACATGGACCAAGACTTGAGGGATTGGGAAGAGACCTATGGCGGGAATGATGGGAATTTCAAGGATGATAGTGATGCAGAGAAGGATGGTGCTACTACTGGGGTTGATGGCGATGCAGAGAAGGATGGTGCTGCTACTGGGGCTGATGGTGATGCAGAGAAGGAGAAGGAGGTCATTGATGTAGAAGCTGAGGAGGAAAAGAAGAGAAAGCCGGTGGCATCTAGATCTAGCATGTGGGATCACTTCACAAAAATCTACGATAAAGGTTAGTTGGTCAAGGGAAAATGCAACTATTGCAGCAATGAAATTGCAGCACATCCAATGCTCAATGGTACATCTGCTATGCGTAAGCATTTTAACACTTGCAAGTGTAATCCTCATAGAGTTAGTGATGATGCAAAACAAGGTGTTTTGTCAGTAAATCAAGGCACTAGTGTAGGTACTTGGAAGTTTGATCCTAAATTGCTTAGGTCTGCTTTTGCTGAAATGATCATAGAAGATGAGGAGCCATTTGGATTTGGTGAGAAGCCTGGTTTTAGAAAGTTCATGTCTCTTGCTTGCCCTAGGTTCATTATCCCTTCTAGAAGGACATGTACTAGGGACACTGTGCAGTTGTACTTTGAGCAGAAAGCAAAACTTAAAATTTTCTTTCAAGAACAATGCAATAGAGTTTGCCTCACAACCGATGGTTGGACATCACAGCAACAAGATAATTACATGACTCTGACAGCCCACTTTATAGACAAAGATTGGTGCCTGCATAAAAAGATAATTTGTATTTTCAAGGTAAAAGGTAAAAAGGGGATGATATTGGAAAACACCTGCATAAAGTATTTGCTTGATTGGGGGTTGGACAAAGTAATGACAGTAACAGTAGATAATGCTAGTGCAAATGATAGTGGTGTTAGTTATTTGATAAGACAAATGAATAGTGTGAAAACTAGCATAGCAGGGGGCAAATACCTTCACATGAGATGTGCTGCACATATACTTAATTTGATTGTCCAAGATGGTTTGAAAGAAGTAGACCAGTCTATCAAGCATGTACGGGATGCGATTAGATTTGTTAGGAATGGTTCATCAAGATTAGCCAAATTTAAAGAGATTGCACAATGGGAGAAAGTGGACAGCAAGGCATTCTTGAACCTTGATGTGTGCACTAGGTGGAACTCGACATATGATATGCTAAAAGCAACTTGCACATATGAAAAGGTGCTTGCAAGGTATCCAAATGAAGATCCATACTATACAATTGAATTGCTTAATGACATTAAGCTAGGTGTTCCCGGTCCAGGAGTTCCTGATGAACATGATTGGGATAATGCAAGAAAACTAGCTGAGTTTCTAGGGCATTTTGCTGAAGTAACGAAACGTGTTTCAGCATCATTAAGTGTGACTGCTCACACTTACTTTCATGAGATTGGAAAGGTCAATGAATTGGTGAATGAATGGATGAGTAGTTCTGATTCTGTCCAGCAAGAAATGGGGAGAAGAATGAAAGACAAGTATGACAAGTATTGGAGGAAGTGGCATGAACATTTAGAAATGCAAAATGACAAGGCAAAGGAAAAGGAGAAGGAGAAGGAAAATATTAACTTGCTAATTTTTATTGCTGTTGTACTTGATCCTAGATACAAGCTTTCACAGTATACAGAAATGGTAATCAAAGATATGTATGGTGACGGTGTTGGACATAAAGTTTGGGCTGCAATTACCAAATGCTTGCAAGACCTTTTTGAAGAATACAGGAACAATAGTTCTCCAAGTGATGTGCAACCCCAACCAAGTGAATCACCCCCATCTAAGCAAGGTGGAGAGGGTGCTAGAAAGTTGAAGACTAAGCTGACAAAGAAGATTAAGCTGAACAATGGAACAAGCAGCTGCAGCAGGGGCAGCAGGACTGAACTAGATAAGTACTTGGCTGAAGAGTGTGAAGAAGATACCAAAAAGTTTGATATTCTTGCTTGGTGGAAGGGGCAGTCCACTAGATTTCCCATATTGTCTACATTAGGCCGTGATGTGCTCGCCATTCCAATATCCATAGTTGCTAGTGAATCGGCCTTTAGCACAGGTGGGCATATTCTAGATGATTTTAGGAGTTCACTCACTCCATTTATGGTTGAAGCTCTTGTTTGCACTCAAGATTGGCTTAGAAGAGCAACTCCCATCAACTTAGTAGAGAATACAGAAGAATTGAGTAAAGTAGAAAAAATGTGACCATTTATTGTACCATTTCTTTACTGTTTTCAACAATGAAAAAAATATTTAATGTTTTCTTTGTTTGTTGTTTTCTATTTTCAAAATTTATTCAAGAATTCAAGGACAAAGCCATTGTTGATGCCCATGCTGCCAAGTCACAAATCCAAGGCAGCAAAAAGAAGATGGTTACATCCACCAACATCAGCTCATCACAGCCAAGCAAGTCCTCCAATCAAGCAATTCCTCAAAGGAAAGCAAGAACAAGAAATAGTCTAAAGATAAATGACCATGTGAGCTATATACAAGCATAGGTGCCAATATTGTGGTATGCATGTTTCTCCTCAACATAATCTTTTTTTTTTCCAATCTGCATGTTTCATTATTTCATATTCTGACGGCTGCCATTTCCTGCTACCTAATGTGGAAAAGTGTTAGTTGCAGGTTATTTGTACTGTTAGCTAAAATTTGCACATGGTTACTTGTTTTTTTATGGATGGTAGTAGCTTCTTGCTAAAAAGAGTCATGCATGTACATGCTTAAGTTTAAGTTCGACTCGGGTTTTCAATTGTGATTTGTTTTCTAACTCGGCCAAGGTCAAAATGAACTTAATTATTTTTACAAGAAACTAGGTGACACAGTCCATTCTTCAAAGTCTTCCTTTGCATATATTAAATTATGTGAAGATTTTTTAAGAAGTACCAAATCAGTTAGAATTGTTCTGGACTTATCCACTATTTCTGCAATTCAACCACACTTTAGTAAAGCAGTGGGTTTTACTGAAATTTGGTGAAGGTTCATGAAACCAAGCTCAGTCCTATTCATCAACCTGCTTAGTCTTCCTCTTTACTTTCTTTGAGCTCACTTCACTGTTTTAGCCTTGTCGTTGAGTAATTTTGGCTGGGTTTTGATCTGTTTCTGGTACTCCATTCGCATTCACTATTGGTGGTCAGTCATCTGATAGTCATGGTCAGACTTGTGATTAATCTTGTACTTTTTAATGTTGTGTATGTACTTAATCCCATGATGTTCATGATCATTATTCCAATTCTTCCTTCAACCAATAAGAATTTTGACAGTGCATAAGTTGATTTCAGAACATGATACAAATAATACATATTTATTCCACATCTTTGTACAGGTCAAGTATCTTGGAGGAGGAGTGTGGACTGGTTCCTGTAAAGGTGCAGCCAGTACATGCAAAACGGTGGACTTCTTGTTTCACTTGTGCTGTTGGATCTTTTGTTTTTTCATTGCTCTATATGCTTGAATATGTGTGTGTGGTGCTGGACGCCTATAGCATTGCTATGCTGTTGGACATCTTGTTTTTTTACTACAGGCTTGAATATTGCTCTATGCTTGAATATTTGAAAGAACAATAACATATATGTGTTGTACTGTTGTTTTATGTTGCATTGCTGTTTAAATTATCCATTTTGACTGCATGAAAATCAGGCAAAATGCTGCTGAAATTTGTAATTGAATGGGTTGTTTCTTGGTTCCTGAAAAATTCGGCTCCATCGGTTAGAACCGAAACTGAACCGAATTACCCAAACCGAAATTCCTCGGTTCCGCAATTTCAAAGTAATCGATTGGTCCCTTCTTCTCAAGTAACCGAATTAGTGAAGAACCGAAGAACCGAACCCGCCCAGACTGAGCCACGGCCGGGCGCCCGGGTCTTGCCACCCAGCGCGACGGAGGTGGCCATGGCACGAGCGGCCGCCAGCCCACAGGCCAGGGCATGGCGCCGGAGCTCGCTAGGGGCGCGGGCCCGGTGCCCCGCCGACCCAGCCATGGCGCGGTCGGAGCTCCTAGGGAGCAGCAGAGTTTTTTTCCATAGGAGAGAGAAAGGTGCGGGAGGAAGAAGAGAAAGAAAAAAGAACAAAGAGGTACGTTTGTGTAATCAGTGGTAGTGATGGGTAATTTTTTTTTCAAATTCATCAAACTTAGTTTGGTGGAGCACCCCTAAGGAGATCCACAAAATAGTGAATCCAGCCTCCAGCCATTTTGCTGAATCCGAATTTGATAGATCCAAGCAATCTAAATCTGATGAATCTGAATCCCTACCACACAAACCCTTCTGTTGACCGTACGCTCGAAGACCGTACGCTCGAATACGGTGGACTGTCCCAGAAATCTCGAAACGTGTCTAACGAGCAAACATGCACACACATTACCCACATACATGTCGTACGGTTTCCTAGGGGTAAACCTGGTGCCACACTCGATCGATCCCAAGACTGGAAATTGAACGCGCGCGTGTAGCCTTCGCACCGAGAGGAGTCACCACAGCTCTGTGAGCACGTTGGCCCCATACGTCTTGAAGTCGCATTCGGTACCATCGGTGGATACAAGTCGTTCTATCAATCGTTCGGCTCATGATTTTTTTTGACTAATAAATCGGCCGGTGCTGTTTTATCACGAGAGAAAAATACTATACCTTGACTGATTAGTGAGACTAATAAGTTCAAACATAAAACAGAGCTCTATCAGCACATGTCATATGTTCAGGTCACCTACAAAATAATATGAAGGGCATAAGTGTATTTTACAAATAAAAAATGGGTTGGAAGAACTCTTCGCTCATCAATTTTAGGTCTTGTTTAGTTCCTCCCGCTAAAATTTACTCTATCACATCAAATATTTGGACATATGTATGGAGTATTAAATATATACTAAAAAATAACTAATTACACAGTTTGCGACGAGACGAATCTTTTAAACCTAATTAGTCCATGATTTGACAATGTGGTGCTACAAGTAACATGCGTGCTAATGACGAATTAATTAGGCTTAATAAATTCGTCTCGCGGATTACTGACGGATTCTGTAATTTATTTTTTTATTAGTATCCGAACACCCTTTACGACACCCCATATGACATCTGATGTGATACCCCAAATTTTTACACCTTGAATTTAAACAAACCTTTAGTTAGAGGTAAAGATGTACTCATACATTATCATGCAGGTGCATCAATTACAAGCTTACCGACAGGCCTGCAGCCCAAGCGCCAGCATCCTCGCCAAGGATGAGGAGGGAGTGCATGATGAACTAGACAGTGGAGGTGGAGGTGGAGGACGAAGGAAGAGGAAGCGCCCAGCAGAGTAGATATCAGAGGAGGGCCAACAGCAAGACTAGAAGCCGCACCGTTCAAATGAACAACAACAACGTGATCGAGCATCTCCACGATGAAGGAGGTCTTCACCGATCACCATAGCCGCAACTTCAACCATCGGCAAATTGGCGTTCATGAGGATGAGGTGGGATCAGGGTCACTGGCGTGCTTGGACGCGTCGTGGGAGTAGGAGCGATGGCTATGGCGGTCCCAGCTTTGTGGAGGCGCAGCGGGAGCACGAGTGGCAATGGGTGCGAGAGCAAACCACGGGGCTGGGAAGTGGTGGGAGTGTGTCACCCTGCAAAATCCCTCATCTATGTGTGGTCAAATCCCATGCACTTTTGCTTCTTGTTGTAGCAGAAGAAAAAAAGAGGGTTTATATTTTATGAAAAAATTAAATGTTGGAGAGATTAAATGTCGATGAAAATGTTAACGAAGTAATATGGATGCGTGGTGCACTAGATAAAGGCCACTTACAAAGAGTTTGTACACCTAACTGGTATATACCATGACAAGTTTACGATCACTAGTACATTAATTTTTTATTTTAATTTTTAGCAACATTTTATTTATTTTATTACCACTCAAAAAATATATACTCGATTATACGAATCTTACATTTTTTTACCAAAAAAAAATCTTCGATTATACGGCCCAACTTTGAAGCGAAGAAAACCCCATCTCTTCTAGAGGTCAAGTGGTCAACCCACCCAAACGGAACTTCACACAGCTGCGTTAATATTCCCGTCACCAGCCCCACACACGCGCTCCCCTCCACCGTCCGCCGCGCCCTCCTCCTCACCGGCGGCCACCGCCACGGGCCCACCTCCCTCCGGCACCCGGGCGCTCCTCATCCTCCCCTTCTCCGCGCGATGGAGACTCGCGGCGGCGGTAGCCAGTCCTACGGCTTCCCGATCTACTGCGCCGCCTGGCTCCCGCTCGCCCACATCCTCAAGCCCGACCCTCCCGCCGCCGAGGCGAACGCGGACGCGGATGCCGCCTCCCCCTACTCTCCCCCGCCTCCGATGGCTGTCCTCGGGGGCGGCGGCGGGGAGGGCCGGAGCGGCGTGCCGAACAAGCTCGTGGTGGCGGCCCTCGCCGCCGGCGAAGAGGCCGCGCCGGCCGCCCTCTCCACCGAGACGGTGAGCGACCCGTCCTCCCAGATCCCGCTCCGATCTAGGGCGGGGCTGAGTGTCCCGTGCTGATTTGGCGTTCCGTGGTGGTGGGCAGGTGATTGAGGTGAAGACCCGAGAGGAGGTGCCGTACAGAATGGCCGTCCACCCGCGCGGCGACGGCGTGTTCTGCGCCTTCCCCAACGGCTGCAGGTATGCACCCTCGTCCCCTTGGATCGTAATCCTTTCACCCTGCATTGCTTTTGCTCCTGTAGCCTGGATAATGTATTGGTTGGTTCTGAATTCTGATATGCACAAATGATCAGAATGTGGTACATTTGTCCCCTTCATTCCTTGTTTAGATAACATCTAATGTGGAATCTTGCTAGTAACAAGTGACATGGGCTGAAGCGAAGGTATTTGCGAATTGTCTTGTATGTCGCCTAAGCCATGATATTCAAGAAGATAGCTTATCTACTGTTGATACTTGCTAGTAAAAGGCGGTATTTTGGGCATGCTTGATTATTTCCTGTTTCCTTAGTAGGAGTAATTAAATCCCTTACAATCTGGTTTTTGTTGTCTAACATGGGATTTACTTTGGGCTTTCTTAGTTGTTATTATTACTTGTTAGTATAGATGTGTCTCTGGTTCAGAAAGTATCAACTACAAAATGTACCTTATATGCTTTGCCATCATCTTATATTCTACAAAAGATAATGCTGTATTGTTTTGTATTCCTGTGAACAATAAATAATTGAACTTGGCTGAAAAGATTGTTTTTCATAATTTTTAACTATGAAAACACTAATGTAGGTTGTATCGATGGGAATCACAGGAAGGAGAGGGACCACAGAACCTGGCTTTGGAGCCAGATCAGGAAGCTTTAGCAGAGCTGAAAGATGTTGGTTTGCAGTTGGCCGTATCCTTCAGTGGAGAAGGTTCAATACTTGCCATTGGTGGTGAGGTAAGTTAATATGGTGTACTTTTTCCACTTTTTTGTAACTATTGTTGGTAGGTTTGTTAGCTTCTTTTTATTTTCCTTTCCTATTTGACTTTTTCTGAAGCGAAAACTATAGGCACTTTGAGTACTAGATTGGAGTGCATTCTAAGTTTCTAACTTTCAACTTTATTTGTTCTTCTGAGTCTGACATCATAAATGGAAAAAAGATGCCTAGAAAGATATGTTAGCTTGGTAATTTCTAGGTGTACTAAAATTAATATCCTTCATGGCATCATGCAGAAAAAATGTATACTACATACTGTGGTCATCATAAGCAACATTTTTTAGTACCGATTAATGCAGCCAAACAATTAGCTTGTTTTGGCAACTTAATAATCATTTGGTACAAGTACAATAGTATGTATGGGGGATTCTGATAGTGAGTTGAGGTATCTGAAGAGGTGGGTTTATATTGTTTATTTTAGGCAAAGAGATTCTTGTTTCATGGTCAACATGGTACAAAAATCTTTGGCTAGAAAGTACAGCCAGTGCAGTTCTGAATGAAATTGTTTCACTTTATGTCTTTAAGGTATGGAGATACCAAATAACATTAAGTAGTTCTTGAGATGCATTTTTATGATACATCCTTGTTTTATTCATGTTTGCGCCATCAGCATAATTTGTCGTTAAAAGCAAAGATACGCTTACCAGTTTCGATAAGTTTTATCTGTTAATAGTTGTTTCCTACTGGCAGAACAGTCTTTGAGCACTGATATTTAATCTTGCTTTTACATTATAACAAGGCAAATCTGGTTTGCCTCCATTTAAGTAGATTACTTATCAGTATGGTCTTGCATTTGTGCTTTGAGGTTTTTGTCATGGTTGATATGTGATTTTCTTGTTTCTCTTGGAGCCTCTGTTTTGGTACTGAAATCTTATGGTTATTGACATGTTCGTTTCTATCTATTCTGTTGTAGGATGGGCATTTAAGAGTCTTCAAGTGGCCTGCCATGGCATCTGTTCTCACAGAAACTGATACGAAAACATCAATTAAGGATCTTACGATCAGGTAAATAAATGACCATTAAACTCTCTTCCCACTTGAATATTGGTTGTGTGATACTGATGGGCTCCTCTGCTTTGGTCCATGCTTTCAGTTCCGACGATAAGTTTGTTGCTGTGAATAGGAGCAGTGGCCCATGTAGAGTGTGGGATTTGCAGTCATCTGAAGTTGTAGCTAGTCTGCCAAGAGAAGCAGTGAGTTCCTTTCTTGGACGAAATGCATTGTTTCAATGATTTCGTGTTTTGTTACAAGAGAGTTTTGATCTGTACATTTCCAGGGGGAAATATTTGGATTCTGCAGATTCTGTAATAAGACTGACAACAGTCACGTCCTATTTATAACAGCGATGCAAGGTGGCATTAAAGATGAACTTGACCTAGTTACAAATTGAATTAGGCAACAAGCTTAAGGTCTGACAATACCTGAATAATTTTGCTTTTTAGGTGACTATGGAAAAATAGTATCTTGGAATACTACCTCATGGACGAGAATCGGATCAAAGAAAATAACTCGTGAGGCAATTTCAGCTTTTGCTGTGTCACCCAATGGTGCTCTTCTTGCAATGTGAGATTGGAAAGATCCCCTTGGTTTTATTTATTAATCATCTTGTGGAGATACTATGGCTGTATTTTCTTGAGAATTTTATTTGTCTGCCTTTGGTTTATAGTGGAACAATCGAAGGAAGCATCATCATAGTTGGCTCAAAAGACATGAGGACACTTGTAACAGTTAAAAAGGCTCATCTTGGTATTGTTACTACACTGGCCTTCTCTCAAGATTCAAGGTTAGTATATCTTTAACTTCGAGTTGATGGATCTAAAGGAAAAAAAATGCAATTTTTGAATGTAGTTGCTTTACATCATTTCAGAACATTGCTGTCAACTTCCTTTGACTCTTCTGCAAGGGTGACATCTGTTGGGTCCCCGAAGAGTAATGGTATGTTGCATCTTTAATTCATAGATTTTTTTCCAGCCATTCCTTGCAAGCCCTATACTAAAAATGGATGATTGTGTCCTGACAGGAACAAGCATATGGCCCATGCTACTAGTTATTATTGTTGCAATTTTAGTGTACTACTGTATGCAACACAAAGAAGACATTTTGGCAATGTTGCCGCATTGAGTTAGATTTCTGTTCAGCCCTGACTGGTCAACTCTACTGGACATATTAGTAGTATTGCTTCAGAGATTGAACAAGTTTTGGACTTAGGTCAACTTCATTATTTTCTCAAGGTCAAAAATACAGCAAAAGGCATTGATCCCTGTCATGTTTGTAGTAAAAAGGGTCATATACTCATGTTGTCGAAGTTTTGTAAGTTGATGGCCGCAAGTGATAGTCATCAGTACCAATGTTTCTTCATGCTGCACTTCTGAATTGCAAGGAGATTGTTCCAAGAGTCCAATATAGAGAGTTCAAAAACAATTTATTTTGTATGCGAAAACAATTCGTTATGTATGCATTTTAAATCTGTACAAAAAATATTTAAAAATGCACATGGCATCTGGGTGCTTATATACATGTGATGACCAATCGTTTGTTTGGATGACAAAAGGGTGTTGTGAGTTGTGACACTATGCACTACTATACCTCTCGGTGTTGGAATTAAGGAGCAGTTTATGTCGGTTTCTTCTTGTTCTATGATATGTTTGCTGAACTCAAAGGTATCACCTTTGTTCACTATCCCTAAGTTTAATACGTGTGCCCAGCAGTGCAGTGCACTACGCTCAGACGATACTTCTGAATGATCTTCTGACGCAGTGAGACCAAAAGGTTGCTTCAAGAACGGAGATCTCAAAAGGGTCACGATGTGCGGTGTGCATGACCTTTGTTGACTGATTTATTAGGAAAGAAAAATACCATTTCTTTGTTGAAAAAGTACAAATTATAAGCGAGCGAACAGCACGCTTATTCTGAACGGACCTAAAAGAATCGCGAGAGGTACACCTGAAACTTTTTACAAGAAAGAAATGTCACTTCTGCACCCCGAGGCCAAAAGTTTCTACTCCATCCTAGAAGCTTCACACACAGCCAGCAGCACAGGCATGCTACAGCATCCACGTCTCATTTGATGACCAACAACGACCTGCAACAACCGTCTGGTCCAAATAATTGATGCACACTGCCTTGAGAGGCGACTGGGCAGAACTGCCTACCCTGCCTACTTTAACCTCACACCATTAGTATTGCAAACAGAAGCATCATTTTTAATGAGGCGTTAGTGTCCTGACAGAGACATGGCAAGGCAGGTGAGATGGCTTGTCCGATGGAACTGTGTCCAGAATCCTGACCTCGGCAGGCAAATTTAACAAGGCCTTTTTTTCTGCATAAGAGCTGCGTACTTCAGGTGCAAATGTGCAATGCAATGCTTGGGTTTACTTTTGGTGAATAGGGTTGGGATTTGGGATAACATCCAGTTCATTCTGTATTGGGATGGGAACAGAACAAATTCCCTACTTGGCATGATCCACAAGTTATTCAGGCCTTTAAATCCAATGCGTAAGGTTTTTGGGTGTAACATCGAATATTATATGGGATGTTGTATGAGTGTTTGGATAATAATAAAAAAATAAATTACAGAATCCGTCAGTAATCCGCGAGATGAATTTATTAAGCCTAATTAATCCGTTATTAACACATGTGTACTGTAGCACCACATTGTCAAATCATGGACCACATTGTCAAATTCATGCCTCGCAAATTATCATGGAAACTGTGTAATTAGTTACTTTTTTTTTTATATTTAATACTCCAAAAGTATGTGTCCAACTATTCGATGGACAAGAGTCATTAATCTCAGAAACTATGTAATTTTCAATTACTTTTTTTTTTTTCTCTCTATAAACCAATACAAAGATGAAATAATATGTGTCCGACTATTCGATGGACAAGAGTAACCTTTAGGTGGAGGAATTAGACAAGGCCTCAGCTCCCTTAGGTGTATCTGGGCAATGGTGTCTGAACAGTCTACACCTGAATCTGAATAAAATTGAGACTGATGTTTGGTCCTCATCCCTGCAGGCAGCAGCAGCAGCTTAAGATCATAGACGTACAAGACTCAAATAAAGGTCATGGTGGTTCGTGATGGATACAGAGAAACTAGAGATCAGTGGGCCAAATTTGAGCAACATGTGTCTTCAGTTCACCCATATCTTTCAGAAATTCTGTACCCAGAACGAACAGGAGTGATCTTTTATATGTTACACATGCATGCGTACTTGCTTTCTCTGATTTCGCACACAACTTCTTTTGTCAGGAATTCTTATTTACAATTTCTGACGCTCCGCAGTATATGCACAAACTCACGAGTTAATATACTTGTGATTATACACGAAACCTGGAAGATGACATTTTTACCTTCCCTTGTGGCACACAAAACTTTGCAAACCAACACCAACCTTCAACTCCCAATTCCCAAAGCTGCAATTTTTACCCGATCAGCTCATCGTCGACCTCAACCAGTTCACTGCGACGTCTCGTCAGCGCTGACGCCGGCGGCGGCCGAGGGCCCCGACCTTGGCGGCAAGCGCTGGCAGCTCCCGGCGCCAAACGAGACCGACCGCTCGACCCCGATTCCGGCTATCTCCAGCGCGTCCGAGAACTTGAGAAGCCGGCTGATCTTGCCGAGCCCCGTCATGTCCTCCTCGCGGCCGCTGCTCGACGCCGGCGCCCGCAGCGAGACGTCCGGCCACGCCCGCCGCGGCAGCGCCACCATGGACGCGGCCCGCCTGACGGCGCGGTCCGGCACGCCGCCGCCGCCGCGCGCGGTCTCCTCTGTCTGAACGCCACCGACGGCGCCAACAAGATCCCTCTCCTGCCGCCCCCCCGACGTGGCCGTGGGCGCTCCCAGCGCGGCGTTAGAACCGGCGGAGGCGGCGAGGGCGACCTGGACGGGCGCGCGGCAGAGCGGGCAGTTGACGTGGGCGCGGAGCCAGGTGTCGATGCACCCGCGGTGGAACGCGTGGCCGCACCGCGGCAGCAGGCGCAGCGTCTCGCCGTCCCGGAACTCCGCGAGGCACACCGCGCAGCTGCCGTCGTCCCCGTCGTCGCCGTCGGTCCCTCCGGCGCCGCGCCTCTTGGCTTCGTACACCACCGCGGCGATCGCCGCGATGGCGCGCTCGTCGAGGCCCTTGGTCCGTATGTACCACACGTGGTGCACGCCGCCGCCGCCGTCGGCCTCCTCCTGCACCTCCTGCGCCACCGCGCCAGCCAGCACCTGGTGGCCGCCTCCTCCCTCCTCGCCGTGGTGAGCCAGCGCCAGCGCCGCGTCCTGCTGCGCCCGCCGCCGCCGCCGCGCCACGAGGCGGTGGACGAGCAGCGCGAGCAGGAGCACGGCGGAGACGGCGAGGAGCGACGCCGAGAGCGCGATGAGCGGGGTGGGCAGCCGGCTCGAGCGGAGGTGCAAGGTGGTCCCGCGCGACGACGGCGGGGGCGGCGGCTGGCAGTGCGGTAAGTAAGCGCATGCGCCGGAGCAGGTGTCGGCGCAGATGAGGTCCGGCGGGGACGTGGTGACGACGCCGGCGGCGTCCCCGACCCCGTCCCGCTCAGGCAACGGCCCTGCCGGCTTCAGCTTCGGCGGGTCTGGCCCCTTCGGCTTCGGCTTCGGCGGCTTTGGCTCTGGCTTTGGCTCTGGCCGCGGCAGCGGCAGCGGCTTCTCCTCCTCCGGCGGCGGCGCCATGGGTTTCGCCTTGACGCGGCTCAATGGCTCAACGCCTCAACCGTGTGAGACGCGGTTGTGTGGTTGCACTACTCAGCTCGGCCTTGCCTTGTGTTCAATGTGAAAGTGTTATTAGTGTGGTGGTGATGTGGTAGAAGGGTGACCTGTGAAAAGTGGCAGTGGTCTGTGACTGCAGTGTACTGAATTTCTCATGATTCTATGGAAATTTTTGTGTTTGTAAAAAGAACTGATTTTGACGGAGATTGTGACACTGCTGGACTATGCATGATGTGGCTGTGTATGTAGCTCTGTGGGTGGTAGTGAGTACTGAGTAGTTTAAAATAAAGGTTGGAAAGGACCTTCATGAAATATCTTGCTTCCGACTCCCATTGACAGTGGTGGGGTCATTGTTTTTGACGCACGAGTTCTTTTGCATTATGGCCCCGCATTATGTATTTTTAGGGGTTTGTATTTACTGGTTACCAAAAAAGATTAGTGATTTCTCGGCTAACTGAGGTATCGTTATTTATATATTGTGCGTCAGTTCGATGTGATGAGAAATTTTGGCCAACCGAAATATGTATCTCGTAATATACTTCAAGTGAGATGAGGTATCGTTATCAATATATTGTGCGTCAGTGCGTGTGAGTGGCCAACCGAAATATTTTGTAATATTTTCGTGCGAAAATATCTTGTATCAGGGCCACGTAATGCAAATTTTTGTTTTGGGACAAGGTAGGATTATGTCTTCTTCCAATTGGCATGTGTGGAACTTTTTGAATGGTACATTGAAATGAAGGGTAGGTCACTTCTTGCGGTGGAAGCTTCTTCAAGCCAAGGAAACAACCATTTCCCGTCACATATATATATTTTCAACATTCGATTAACGATATTGCTCGGGACCGGATGTAAGTCCATCCCGACTCCGCTTTCCGGGCTCTAAAAATATATCCTATTTCCGTGCTCGTCCATCACGGGCTGCTGCGGCGTGTGCTTGCTGTTGCCGTTTTTCCCAAAGCGCGCCCCATCCTGCGTCTGAAAAGTCCTAATGACTATAGCGGGTGAATAGCTTATTAAAATTTTCTATAATAACACTTAGCAAATATGTTAGACAATTAAACAGCGAAGCGAGTATTACGCTAGCCTATTAAAAGAGCAAACCACCTACCATAATTTTAGTGTCTATGATCTTTAAGCACACAATTGCTAGGTCACTACACCAAATTAGTATGCTCTCAAAGACTAACTAAAGAGCCACACTAACCATTAGACCCTTTCACAAGCTTATTGTCAAAACTA